CACCAACTGTCTGTAACAATACTGTCAGTGTATGACANCACCCCCCACCCCCACCCCTTACTGCAAAACGTAATCAAACACTCAGGGTGTCTGCATGGACAACAAAAATAAGGTCTTATGGAATAATAGAATCATCCCCAACCTGGAGGATTTGACAGATAAATATCCAACTCGAGGGTTAGACAACCAAATAAATCACCCCGAGGGTTGAAGATTTCTCTGTTACACCCTCAAGGTAGGGGATGATTATTTTTCTCCCATCATATTATTTCAGTCACAACTCCACCGACAGTAGCTACATATATATATAGTCTGCCATGTTTGTAAACAAAAACACATGTGCGGCAGGAATATCGTCATCCACTTTTGACGACGTCACATTAACCAGTGACACATTTTAATGACGTCACAATTGAACATGTGCTAATCGGTACAAGGCTATCTCCCCCTAGTGGTTGACGAGCTGATCTTTTCCGGCTAAAACGGGAGACACCCCCGTGAAGGGTGGGAGAAAACTGTCTTTTTTTGATAGTCTTTATAACCTCTTCTGGAATTTTGTGAGAGGGATATAGCAAATCCCTGAGTAAAGGAGCACCAATATCACTGGTAAAGGAGCACCAATATCGCCGGCAAAGGAGCACCAATATCACCGGTAAAGGAGCACCAATACCCCAGGTACAAATATTCCTGGTAAAACAAAACCAATACCCCTAGTATATTCGCTTACCAAATAACTATGTTAGCTTCATTATTGTTCACTTATAAGCATTGTAAGTAATGGTACAGTTACTTTCTTACTTTCAAAATCAGAAACACATTGACATTAGAATTCCTACTAAGATAATATCATACTGAGGTTGCTACAGCTGAATTCTGGGTGTAGCTATCATTGACAGGGTAACGTTCACACACATCTCTACCGCTATGCCTTAATTTTCTACATTATGATTAATTGACTTGATTCATGATCCTTTACCCACTTTGATGATAAAGGAATGACGAAAATTGTGCATAATATCTGATCATCTACATTCCAGCAACCACAGGTATACACATTTTACATGCTTCAGACGAAACCCTGAGGACTTCAGCCCATAAATACAGGGAGTATGCCACCTAATCATTCCCATCCCAAATAGTGTTAACATCTCATTCCTTTGTCTAATTAAAACATTAAGCATCTGATTTCTTTTCATGAACATCAATCAACTAATTAGTGTGACAAGGATTTCTAATCTAAGATGAAAGTGATACCTGCGTGAAATAAATTCACCCACTCCCTCGACTGTCAACTTAATAGAAAATTTATGGTGTGAGACACTAATGAAAAAATTATTTCCCACTACAGAAAAGTTGACCCAATCAATAGAAATGTGATGTAGCCTATGTAAATATAGACCCTTACATTGGTGTATGGTAAGAAATCTTGTACCCTTCAAAAAGCAATTTCATTCACTCTGAACTTTAAGGTCAAGAATATTTGAATTATTTATTTACATGGATATCAATTTCCAGGTGAGAAATTCACCTGGAAGCCTTTCCTAATTTGCCCAGGTGTGTCACAGTGTGCCCTACACATATTTCACATAGCAAGGTAGTACACATTGTATAAACTGCCGACCAGAGGATTAAAAATACACCTTTGCTTTTATAGCCTTGAAAGTAAGCCTTTTGCACATTCTCGTGAAAGTAGAAATCTGTTACATATTTTGCCTACCTGGAGTATTTGCAAGTTACCGGACTGATTCAGTGTATAGGAGTGTAGCTAGGTGGTGTGTACAGATGAAATTTGACATTAAGAGGCTCAGTATGTCTGTAGCTTGAGGATTCACCCTGTGGTAGAGAGTTCGAGCAGTCTCCATAAAATATGTGTGCAGCTGTGTACAGTGAAGGATGCCAACACTCAATAAGTGTACCTAAATGTGCTACATTTACCGTAAAGCCTTTGAATTGGGAGAGAATATTTGAACCATTACCACAAACAAAAACTGAAACTTTTGAGATGGGAATCATTATAACTACACAAGGAGGTACATGTATATGAAATGCTATGTACATTCCTTCCTCCAATCTACTTTGTTTATTTAGGATGTTTAAGTTTACTATTAAAGAAATTCCCACAACTTGATAATTCAGGGACATGTATCCAAGGTGCTGAGAACATGCACCATTTTCAGAAATTCTTCATCAATGTTAAATTTTGAGGGGCCATTTGTGTTGANCCCCCCCCCGGTAGACATTGATGAGGTACTCAGTTACAATAGAATAACTGTGAAAGGTAGAGCATGCCACAATTCATTCTAACGAAACTTATAAAGCAATCGTGAAAACGTTAAAAGTATATTTAATGTCGTAAAATGATGACTGACACACACATTTAGTTATGACAGCATTAAAACAGTTTCCATCATCACAATAGTACTTTCATCTCATGTGTGGTGAGACAATTTCATCTTAACCACTAGTCACACACGTACTGTAAAATGTAGGTCAAATTGGCATCCACAACATGCAATAAGTGGAGCAACTCTAACCACATCAATGATTTGGGTACAAGATCTATGTTGATGCAACACATTTTTAGCTTGATATATTTATCAGACCATTTCTTCTTAACCAAGTGACTGAAGCTAAATGTAGGTTTTAAATTTGGCATCCATGACCAGTTGCATGGTTGATGCATGTAAACAAGTAAATAAACTATGTAACACAAGAAAATAATTCTTCTTAACCCAGGCTTTTAGCCAGCCACCTGTCCACCTGTCTTTTTGACAAGACAGTTTTCTTAAAGGGACCTATTTTGACAGGCAACATTCCAATATATAACCTTACTATTGTAGATCAATTTTGATAGACTGTTTTGTAAAATTAGTTATAATATCAACAATTTGGAAAGAGACACTTGACATCCTGGCTAAAAGTCTGTCTTAACCTAATATAAGGATAAGACTTTTTCCTCTTAACCATGGGACTGAAGCAGCAATCAAGGCGAAATTCAGCATAGGCAACATGAATTCACACAGCAACCCTATGGTGTTAATAACCTATGCATCACTGATGTAACTGTAATCCATGTAGGACTTCTAGTTACCCAGACATGGAGGAAACCGTCCTTCTTAAACAGCTGCAAAGACAGACTGACCTTGCTTTGTCACGAATTCAGAGAAAAAATCACAATTTTTTGACCAAATCTCACTAAAAATATTCACTGATCTCACTATTTTTGGACAAATCTCACTAAAAATAATCACTGATCTCACTATTTTGCACAGGAAAGTTATGGCATGTATGCTTTAATATCCCCTGAAAACTTGATTGAGAAAGGAATAGAAATAGGACAAGGCGATTTCAATTTTAAAGGCCCTTCATGATCAGGGCCCCAAGGTCCTTTCTTGAATTATCCCTGAAATGGTCAGGTTTGTATATTAAAGCCCAATAACCCTTTTTTTAACGACCTAAGAGTGGTGATCCAGCCACTACTAATCCGGTTGTCTCCATATAATACAGCAGGCCTGAATATCTAGGTGGATTTGTTTCCCCGGTAGAAAACTGTCCATGTAATCCAGCCATTTCACAACAAAATCTACCTCAGCCGGGAACAATTAGAAGGCTGGATTAACAGCTGTAACAATTACCAACAGTAGTACCTGGTATATGGTCAAGGTTAGAACTAATGGAGTTAGTTGTAATAATCACATATACCTATCATTGGTGAGCCTTTCTCTATAACTTCTGGTCGAGTTTGATAATGACCCTATAGAACTAAATATATTCCTGGTTGAATTTGTTTTTGAAACAACATCATTCCAATTTAACATTTTGAATAATTATTGTATGACATGAAGTGTAAAAGTGGCTATATGATGAAGTATTAATATTCACAGCTAAGACAGTGGAGGTAATAACTCAGTACAGGTGTACTAACATTCTATCTCATGTATCACACACCTGTAACGAGAATTTCACTGTAGATAATGGCCATACAGGTGACAGCAGAAGTAGCCCTCCCTCCAGGCAGGTATGGGGTACGTAATGGACAGCCTGGATACTTATCTGGGACGTTGGGTGTCTGTATCATCTAGACAAGCTTTACTTTCTCACATGAAGCCTTGGTATCATGCAACTACAAAGGTGCTATTTTATGGGGAATTAACTTGCAATAAGATCGGATACGGCTCATGTAGCACAGCAGACTGAATATGTGTGAGAAAAATAAGATCCCGGTCTCTAGAAAGTCTTTCTTTGTGGTAAATATATCAGCTTATCTGCTTCCCAATGGGGATACTGGAAAGATATGACCTCCACAGCACCTTACATACTCTTGATGCATGAGGAAGAGAAAAAAACATCCATATCTTAAACAATTGCATTAGAACAATGTAGTTAGAACTCCAAACCTGTATCATATTAAATTAAAGCAGATATTGTTTGTGTAATTGTAGCATTATGGCTCATATGTGTATAATCTATTTTCCGTAACTGTCACTGTCAAATAAGATATCTCAGCATTTTATACCCACTATAACATTTTTCTATATTTTTACTATCAAATAATTTGTGATTGTAGGATGTCTGATTATCTACTTACGAAATAGACAAAATATCTATATATACTATTGCATTCCGTCCGACAATATTAATCGTTGTCTAGGTTTATCGTTGTACACAAGTTGTAAAGGATTTCTTCCACTAATTTGCATGTACTAGTACTACATGCTTTTCTTATGAGCATTATGGAAGTGCATCATCACTGTTATAGTTACAGAAGTGTTAACATTGAAGCTCTCAATACATGGTGTGACATGGGTTGCTTTCTCTGTTCTGTGACACATATGTAATGTTTTTCCTTGGTAATTTGTGCTTTTGGCTATACCGTTTTCCTTGGTAAGTTGTGATGTATTTAATCCATAAGTGCCTTCTGCTGAAGGCATATTACACGATCTTGTCATGTTATAAGACTATAATGCACTCAGTGTAAGACAATAATAGTTCAACATGTATCCCAAAGTAACATATAACCTTATAAAGTTTAACTGTTAATTTGAATGTGTAATTTCAGTTCAGCCAAAAGATGCATGTGTCTCATGAAATCATTTCTTTACAAAGCATCTCTTCATCACACGCAAATCAAAGAGGAAAGTAAAAAATGTATCTGAAGTTGGAACTGGCTACATCGAAAAGCTAAGCAGGCGTGTCCAGGATCAAAGAGGAAAGGAGGTTTGTCAAGAACCATGTACAATACACTTGCTGGTATCACTCAACCAGCTTTATTGGTGAGAGTGGAACAGCTAGAAGAGGGGTGAAAAAGAAGGGGAAAAAAGCTTATCTGAATCTTATAATATCTGATCTAAAGTCTGTTTTTTTCATGGTATTTTCTAAGATGCGATTTCTTTTCCTTCAGAATGCTTCATGCATGTAGAAGCTATTTTATACACCTTTTCAGACATGTATCCCTATCTCTGCAAATACACAGCTCTATCACTGTGAACTAACGCCCCACTTACTATATGGCGAAACAATACAACACTACCAATATGTAGTACTAGTTAGGGAAGGATGCGGTTAGATTCAGTTACACAGAAAATTTACAAAATTTGGGTCAAATAGTCTGAAATCTCAGCTTTAAACTAAAATTGTTAAGCATACAGTATATATATTCTAAGCAGTTTTTTTTTTAACCAGTGTACACTTTAAACTCAAAAAGTAATAGCTTGATATGAGTAAGAAATGGCAAAAATAGTTTTCGGCACTATTTTGCCAAAAATCTAATTTGAACACTGTTGTAAAGAGTTTTGTTCCTGTACTTAATTGTTTTATCACCTAGGTATCTTTTTGGTCATTACATGAAAGGTTCGGGTTACTGGCCATAAAATACTTGTGTACTTTATAGTGCTATATCTAACAGACATCTCCTCTGGGTCTACATATCCATCTTCACCACCCCCTCGTTTCCTCCTCAGCAAATTGAGATTAATTTTACAACTGTACCTGATGCTAAATAAAGTACATTCTATTTATAACAGCAAAAAGATATATCAGAAGTGCTCCTGTGAAATAAGATCTCCAAGCATATCAGGAATTGCCTCATCTGTAATTTTTAAACCTACTATAGCCTCAGGAATAAATACTAATAAACATTGCAAGCCTCAAAACTAATTTTGAGAATCAATTGATTTGATAAACAGAAGTAGATCTCTGAACAGCAAATGCATACAAATGAAGTTCTGTGTATAATTAGGGGCAGGTTAATATTGCTCTTAAAGGCTAAACTATTTTTCATTTGGTTGAAAATGGTTTCCACAAAAATGGGGATGGGACTAATCAGCTATCATCATTGACAGTACAGCAAAAATAGACAACGAATCTAAAAGTTGTTCAAAGGATTTTGTATCAGCAAAGCAACCAAAATTCTGCTAACAAGTTAGTTGAAAAATCAACAGAACAGCACCTGAACTTGCATTCATTCATAGGTACATTCAATAAGTTTCAGCTTAATTATACTGATGATGACAGATGTTCTGAAAACATTTCCTACTTTCCAATGTAGGTTTTCTCATTCACTGATAACTATTTAGACTTGAAAAGGTCATCAATAGTTTGCATATACCAACAATGTAACTATTCCAAATTATTGAAAGGAAAATGATAACACAACAATTTCTCTGGTCTTACAGTACTTATTAGGCTAAAATCGTTCGTAACAAATTAGGTTTAATTATTATCAAAACTACTTTAAACTTTCTTTACCACTGACTCCTTACAATATACATATATATACAAAATCTAGTGCTACACATGTACTTCTAAATTCTCCAAAAATAACACTTAACAACTGTTTAAACAAATCACTTCAGCCATAAACCGATCCACCATGCATTACCTGGTAAGTAAATAAATCTTTAAAAGTTACAGAATCCTAATCTTCTTTGTGCCCTTCCTATGGCTGTTTCTGACTTTAAACCTTGTGTATATATATATATATACTGCTTTGTAGATATAATATACCTCATATAAAAGCTTACACATAATAGGATTAATCTCATGTCAATAATAACATACAGATTTACAGACTAGTGCAAGTAGATATTAGGGGGTGAAATGTATTTGAGAAACTGTATATATAGAAAGTCTATCTAAGTTCATACACTATATTTTTCAGCTGACGTTATTATTTCATCAACAACAATGTATTCAACATTAATATTTGCATGTGTAATAGTGACAGGATCCAAACCAAGAACCTCTGAATCTGAGATAGAACTTTTATGATCACCAATGATCAACTTCGTTACCCCTCACCCTTAAAGACAACATCTCCGGCCCAGGTTGAAATATTACCATTGCCAAGAATACAAAGCTTTGGAGACAGTTTGGCTTTATATTGTATTAAATAAGATAAATGGGCAAACTGAAACCTACTAGATCAATAATTGGAACAGGCACCTTTCAAACTGCAAATGGCAGAGGACAAATTCTTGCCATTTCAATTCTTTGACATTTCTGCAGCAGCACTCGAACAAAACACCATAGCACACGAGTTTGGCACTTGCACTTTTCAGTCCTTATGTAATATATATTGGTTATTTGGTCAGAATTACCTTATTGTGCAGAAATCACATGGAAATGCACAGTCTCTAAAAGGGTTAGACTCCAAGTGTACTGTATGGAGGCATTACAAATAATTACCTCTGTTGACTATCTACAGGGACCTGGCAGTGGCAGATCCAGAGGTTTTTTTGTGGCTTCAAGGAACCTGGGGGCCCCCATCCCTGAGAATTTTCTTTAAAAATCATGTTCTTTCGNCCCCCGATAGGTTTCTGGATCCTCCACCGCCTGGGAAATATTTAAAAAAATCTCAGCCTTTCTCCCACAATGCTGCTTAGTATCACTGAAACTACTAACTCTTCAGTGAAACATGCTTTCCTGATGGTGGAGTATATGTCACCCTAGTAAAATACTACTTGCTTCCTACCAACTCGGCTAGTTTACAATAGTTACAACCCATTTACAATAGAAGTTATAATGAAAGAAATATCTTTATGAAAGTTTTCAGTTTAGCTAACACACAAATTCAATGCATGAATGTCTAGATAAACAATCAGCTGATATTTGGCCTATTGATAGTAAAACAAAGAGTTTTTATGCTAGCCTCCACTATCTGGCAAGTTTGTTAAGTAGGTATTTTTCTGCTCAATTACGGGGAATAAGTTTGAAATATTGTTACTCTCCGTAAAGGCTGGGCATAAATATAACTGACTTTGGATACATTTTGGGAAAATAACTTGATTTTTAGAAGATGAAGAAAAGAGTCGAGACTCTACCTAACAAATTCTCCGATTCAATGACGACGTGAAATGTTAGGGTTGAATATGCAACAAGGATGAATTCCTGTATGTGACGCATCTCATAATGAGATCAAAACATACCAATAAACAAATACAACAGTATATTGGGTCCTACACCCATGTTGGGCCTGTGTAGAGTACACACGAACAAGTTCGACAACTCTAAATTAATGCATACACCGGTCAAACTAGGATACTTACCTGCTGCGCTACAGGTTCCAGAATACTTTCTATGATTTTTGTGTGGAACACTGGCATCTTGTGTTGTTTTAGTAAGATCTCATAACACAAAAGATGCTAATGATGTTTTTGATTTCTGATAATTTCACAGACTTTCAACCGAAGTCGACAGCAGCCCGTCCTGTCAAAGATCCGAAGCTGGCGTCCTAATTCTGAAGCCGTATTTTCGTATCCAGTAAAAACTTTTCAAAGTAATACAAGTTTGTATGCCGATATTTCCCAGCTGTTTACTATAAAATCTTCATATTTAATTGTATTAATGAAACTAACACAATGAATGACTTTAAACAGCCTCTTTCTTAAACATTACGGATTTGAGTAATCCGAGATCGACCACTCACATTTGCCATATTTGGAAGGCTGTGCGACCTTGCCCTCTCGTTACAGGAGGTCAATGCCGCTGTTCGCGTTGTGGTTGGTGCCCCGCTCCCAGATGAATCATATAAGTTGCGCTTCACCCCCCGCCCCCAACGTTGTACTCGTATTCAAATCATTACATCATCGATTGATACAGACTGATTATGTTTTTCAGAAATAGATATTTTTGTTCAATCTGGCAGCCTAGACTAGACGGTCATAGTCCATGATGAATACATCTTAAAACTCCTCTTATTTTAAACATCGCCTTTTTTCAATAATCTGACTGAGTCATATTGTTTAAGATGAGTGGAGAAACTTATCTAAGAATTAATTTGACCCGATGTAATTTGATCTTATAGAAATCATTTGCATTGTCAATAGCACTACTTGATGCTGAGTTGATAAGTTTCTATTAACGTTAATCTAGTATAATTTTCAAAAATTGTCGGCATAGCTGCTTAATTTTAATGAATTCCTTTAACCGGATCTAAATAGTTTTAATTTTGCAGTTGACAAGGATTTCTCTTTAAAAAGGGTTTTGTCGTGCCTTCAACTTCTTTTCGTCCTACTTGCAATTTTGTAAATGTTGCAGACACTATGTACCAAGGGCCATAACTCGTATACATTAACAAAGGAAGATGCTGATACATACCGAGAGATGTTTCCTAACAATTGAAACCACAGGGACCTGGACATTTGTTCCAGTAGCTAGGTGGATTGAACCGATATATCCTAATGTGTCAAGTTCTATTCGGTTTATCATCAAATTAATTGCAATTGAGTTGATTTTCTGCTGTTTCTCCATATATTTCTTGTGGGAGGAAACTGGAGTACCCGGAGGAAAACCCACACAACCCGACCACCAATGGAAGATCGTGTATGAATTTGTTTTGCTTACTATCAAAATGATAAATTTCACAAAAAAATCCTTATTACGTAAATTTCATATTTGTTACCAAAAGAAAATTGCCGACCTTAGAAAAAGCAAAAAACGAGCAGGCGGACATATCATTTTACTTTTATTTTCTTATATTTTCCTTTTTAAAATGAGATTTGGCTCCAAAAAAGTTAGTCAGCAGAAAATTTTTACTTGTCACAGGCGCAGATGTTTAAGTAAAATATACATTGTACAATAATGTTACATGTGTCAGGGGTATAACACCAGGTAAAACCCGTGGAATACTGGAGGTACGGTGTTCGCTCGAGTCTGACGTCAGAATTTTGGACGAAACAGAGATTATGTCTGCTCGAGGACAATACATTTCAGGTAGATATATAGGATGTAAGTGAAAAACAGTTACCCATTTATCCAACGATAACAAGCACTTAGTTTGCACCCACTAGAAATGTTAATTCTACTGCGAGTCGATTTTTCACACCGAGATCTATCATTGGAGTAGAGATTTTTCCGAGTGTTAATTTCTGTATCTGATGTGCAACAAAATATCTGGTGCCTGTGATTCTGTCTTTAGAAGGGATGTACAGATCAGGTTATGTCTTCAATCCAATCTCATTAAAATCAGATGTTAATAAAAAATACCTACGGCAAAATGTTAATAAAAATACCTACGGCACGTGATAATGAACAGCTGTATTTACACTGTAAATATATTGCGAAATGAAATTTGGAAATCGATGCGCACATTATCGACATGTTGCGAACATCACAATTAAGTTGCACGAGCATCCTAATATAAATCCTGACACAGGTACGTATAGCATTGACATTTTCGCTCCAAGTGAAAAGAGTATCCCCTCCCCCAAGTTAAGTTTTATACTTATTTTCTGTTTTATAAAGATATTCATTAATGGAAAAACAGCAGGAAATAAATTTACTGGAATAAGGAAACCGATGTACAGTGACCACTTGGATGTAGTAGGTAGCTACCCATCCTCGACACCCAGGGGTTACGCCCACTTTCGCTCTCTACACCCCTGGAATATGTCATAGAAAAATTGAAGAATATTTAATAAATATATTTCCTGATTTTCGTAATATTTACTGAAATAATGAATAAAAATATACAAGATTCCAGTTACAATATATTACTTAATAAAAACACATCAAAATAACTGAAAACCTGCTTTTATTAATTTCATATTAAATCAGTTTTATACATTTTTACTATACATTTACATGTATGTTATATATATATTTCATAAAAAAATAACTTAATTTATCAAGCAATTTATGAAAAATGTAATCAGTAAAGACAGATCATGTATTACATTATTAAATATGCAAAAACAGATGCAAAGCTGGGAATAAAAATAAATACACATATGTACACTGTGTATGATAGAAGAAACAGTCCTTCAAACTCACAGCTGGAAACACAGCGCGGATGGCATTCTGGGCAGCAGCCTCAAAGTTCAGGAAAGCGGTGGTGGGATTGAGTTGGATGTTGAGTTCTTTACGTTCCATCACGGGAGAGAGTGTCGAATTTCTATTGATAGTGATTAATCGCTTTTCAAACGGTCAGCTTATATGTCCCTTTATAAGTTCATATACTTATATATTTATTGGTTGACTCAATGCTCACCAGTAGAGTGGTCAGTTGATGGACCCAAGCCATCAGGTGTTAAGATTCATTATCATCAACTAGAAATATCAGTGGCCCCAAGCCATATGGGGTAATTAATCAAATACAAACATAACTAATGATTATGTTTTAGGGGGAAATAATCTAATGAGTGATACTAAGTTATTAATAATTACACTGAAGACGCATTTATTGGTAAAAAAGATTCTCTGAAAATAATGCTCCAATATTAATTTGCTTCCCCCTAAATTAGATCAATTTAAATTTAAATTTGAATTAATCAAAGCATTATCATCTATATATATACTATTAAGTATATAAAATATATAAAATATTTGTGGATTTCACGTTACTGTTTTGTATGATCTAGCTGATGAAAATGGTATATGATATGAAAAAATGGCTAAAAATGATGAAAATAGACTATATCAAAGCTACATGTATATGACAGTACTGTATACAAATGTATATGATACAGGTAATGTGGGAGAACACAGGTAAAAACCAGGTAAAATATATATGAAACGGACCATAACTGCTATCACAACATTACTGCCTCTATGGTATTTTTTAAAAATGGGAGAAAGGAGAACACACTTTTAACAGTACCCTTTTCAGTTAATAAGGAAACTTTGATCTATGATATCACGGGTGTTTATAACCGAATAGATAAAGAACTACTCATGTTGTCTTCTTCTGTTTCTTCACTTCTGCCATCATCTTTTCTCCCCCTGTCACTTTCTTTTTTTTCTTCTTTCTGTTTTAATGTTTCATTTTTCTTTGGTATCTTTTTTCCCTTTTTTCCTCTACTTTCATATTTTTCATCTTATATCAATGCAGTATTGACCTGTATATACATGTATACTATGTATATTACATATCATTAGGTAACATTATATCACCTATGATACATATCAGGCTGAAGTATTATTATACATAAACACGTTTTTCGTATGAAAGATGCTTAGTGAATCAAATGAAAATGTATCTAATAAGGTTGTTAGCAATTTTATACACAAATAAAAGATATGAAAATGGGAAAAACTTTAAAGATTAAGAAAACGATTTCTTGATAACAGATCATATGTATCAGTTCAATATGTTTATATAACATTTTTGTTAATAATTATTATATATGAAGCAGTTTTGGATTTTACGTATATTTAGAGTCGGGGACACCATTTCCGAGTAGTATATTTTTTTATGTTAACGCCATCTGGTGGGATTTCCCTGTCGTTCAGTCTCTTTCATAACTAGTTTGTACACTGGTATGTAGCGGACAGTATACCATGTGTTTCGCGGGAAATAGTTAGTTATAGCTGGCTGTCAAGTTTTGACCTGGGAACTGTAAGCCAGGAAAGACTCTATGGAGACTAATTCTTTATGGGTAAGTCGTTTGGCACTGGGAGAAGGGTTAGGATGAAGATATAGGCTAGTAATCCTACTTTGTTGCAGTGTATATCCCTAGTCTTGTGTCGTATTTACCTGGATATTGTGTCTTACGTCTACGGGTATGTGTAGCATGACGAGAGGTACTGTACGGGGACCGTCTCGAGGTTAACATAAGATTTATATATATTTTGTCTGTGCCGTATAATATATCGCTATAGTTTCGTTTGTATTTAAACCTTTCATATACTCCACTCTATTTGTTTGTTATGTTGAATTGTAATGTCATATAGTAACTAGATGTGATAACAAGTCGGAACCTGGAGGAAGGATCTGGGAAAACAAATAACCACTAATTATAAGCTATGGATAACTTTTACAACATATCAGAAAATTGGTAATAAATAGAAAAAGTCAGTTAATGAACAAGTAATGTTACAGCCTAGTCGGTAACACAAAAGTAGTGAGTCATAGAATAGATGAGAGCGTTATCGATCAGGTGGACTTCCATGCACAGCGACTGTTTTAGACTGTACTATACGTGTGTAGGCCTGTGGTTAGGTAAGCATAGTATTTAAGTTAATATTGTTGGTTGTGATATGTTAGGCCTAGATAATACAAACAAGTACAAGTGTATTTTATTTACTACAAAGTGATATTTTCTACACAGGACCTGTGTAAAGGAGGAAACTAACAGAAAAGAACATGACTACGAGATGTCCAGCATTGCATGGAGTCTTGGACGTTGCTCAGGTAACTAATTCGATGCAGTGGTTTTTATTCACACTCGATGTATCACGAATATAACATACCTTTAGCATTTTTATGGCATTTTATATAATAGTATAAACACATATGTGATTGTGGTTACTGATGTAGAAAGTAAACATAAGAGAAGCTTAGTTTGATATCCTATGCCGTCTATAATTAGCTAAGGGTATTCCCACCGGAAGTGTGAACTCGTCTGATGTTAGTAAATATTAACCAATATTAAAGCCCATCTATTTTCAATTGTTTGAGAAAGGAAAAGAATATGAGAAAGATGTCTGCTTATGCTGGTCGGTTGTGGGAATTTCTTGCCATTTCGGAGTTATTTACAGAGGAAATAAGAGTATGGAAAGACAACAAGAGGCTCAGAGGGCATGTATCGCTCACCTGGATATCAAAGTAATCGTGGCAAAATATTCTCCAAATAAGATCAAAGGGAATGGACCAGACCCCAAGGCCAATCCTTGTATCATATCTGTGTTGGTTTTTTCATGCCCAGCAATTTTATTTATGATTATGGGATGGGGATCTCAACTGTTTCCAAGCTGTGACTCAGAAACTATAGGCCCCTTAGGGTTGTGGCCAGACCCCAGGATCAATTATAATATCATGACTGCATTCGTCTCTTTATTCCCAACATTTGCATATACAGTTTTGGGGTGGGGATCTCAACCGTTTCAAAGTTATGACCCAGAGACTATGTCTCCAAGGGGAGGGGAGGGGGCAGACCCCTGGGCAATCATGGAAGCATATGTGCATTCTTCTCTTTATACTCAGCAATTGTATATATGGTTATAGGGTGGGGATCTCAACCATTTCCTAGCAATACACTATGTTTGGCCCCACCATTGAGCCAAGGGGGTCAGCCCCACCATTTGTACACTTTTAAGTCCCCGCCTCTCATGAATGCTTCTGACCAAATATGATTGATATCCAGTCTAAATTTCTACAGAAGAAGTCATTATAGCAATATAGCCAAATTGACCCTTTTTGGCCCCACCCCTCAGCCCCTGGTGGGTCAGCCCCACCGTGCCATTTGTACAATTTTGAATCCCCACTGACTAGGGATGCTTCCAGTCAAATATGGTTGATGTCTATATTTTGATTGTAGAGAAGAAGCCGCTTACAGCAATACAGCCAAATAACCCTTTTTGGCCCGCCCCTCAGCCCCCTTGGGGGTCAGCGTCACCATTTGTACAATTTTGAATCCGCACTACCCAGGGATGCTTCCAGTCAAATATGGTTGATGTCCATCTTTTAGTCGTTTATGCTAATGATATGCCAGAATCAGTTAACTGTATAATGAAGCTATTTGCAGATGATACAAAAGTTTACTCAAGTATATCTACACCACATTATTGTAAAAACAGACAAGAAGAGAGACCTCGGAGTGACATTCGACAAACAGCTCAAATTTAGCGAACATGTGTCTGCAGCCGTCTTCAAAGGAAACAGGATGTTAGGATTTTTTTTAGAACATTTACATTTCTAAATCAATCAACATTCTTACTATTATATAAATCACTTTTTAGACCTCATATCGAGCATTGCTCCACAATATGGTCACCCCTCCTAAAGAACGACATACAATCACTGGAAAACATATAACGACGGGCAACTAAAAGGTTAATTGCATTGCAAGACTTACCTTACCCAGATCGACTTAAACGACTAGGACTGCCCACACTTGAATATAGAAGACTACGGGCTGATATGATTCATGTGTACACAATTCTGAGTGGTGTGGACGATGCAGACAAGTCTAAATTATTTACTGAATCCACCTATCCGGCAACTAGAGGTCACTAGCTAAAGCTCTTTAAGAAACATAGCCGCTTAAACACCACCAAGAACATTTTCAGCAATCGTGTAGTTACAAATTGGAACAATTTATCAGCTGAAGTGGTTAATGCCGAAAGTTTAAATAGTTTAAAAAAAAGGTTAAACGTGCGCTGGAAAGATCATGCATAACAAAATATTCGTCCTTTTAATCTACGATGTGTAAATATTAATTAATACTATTGCGACAATTAGACTTCACTAGACGTCTAGATATATTTTAATTTCATACAAAGTATGCCATTCTTCGCGCACTCCATCATCAACCAATCAATTTACGAAATGCAGATTAATAACATCATTACAAGCCACAGGCTTTCCATTGATGTCTTACGTATGAGATACCTAGGAGAGTTGAAGAGAAGAAGTTGCTTAAATCAATATAGCCAAATAACCCTTTTTGGCCCCGCCCCTCAGCCCAACCATTTGTACAATTTTGAATCCCCGCCTCCCATGATTGCTTCTGACCAAATATGATTGATATCCATTGCACAGTGCTACAGAAGAAGTCGTTTATAGCAATATAGCCTAAATATCTCCTTTTGGCCCCGCCCCGCAGCCCCCTGGAGGTTAACCCTACCATTTGTACAATTTTGAATCCCCACCACCTAGGGATGCTTCCAGTCAAATTTAGTTAAATTCCAATCAGTGGTTAAGAAGAAGTCGTTTGAAGAAATTGTTGACGTACAGACGATCGACGGACGGACGACGGACGTCACGGTATGGCATACGCTTACCTTGGTCTTTCGGACCAGGTGAGCTAAAATACATCACCCATTGATGAAGTATTTATAGTACGTGCGGTTTAAACACTGTTTGTCAATATCTGCCCAGAGTATTCGCTCATTACACTCACTCTTGTAAGTGAGAGATCGCTGTTTTGTGTGTGCTTGTAAATTTAATGTTTGATACATACACCAATTTGGTTGTCAGCTAATAAAATATTTATTAATCTAAACAAATCACTCAAAGTTGTTCCAGAGAGCAAATATCTGAGAGCAACCCTGTCACACGACTTATCCTTGGGCCAACATAACAGCATTACAGCTCAGGCGCATAGAACTATAGCATTCTTGCGTCGTAACATGTCTGGATACACCAGGCGGGTCAAAGCTCTCACTGACTCTGTTCTTGTCAGACCTCAACTGGAGTACTCATGCTCTGCCCGGGATCCATACCGTGCAGAGCTCATCAACCAGCTTGAGGTTTTCCAGAGAAGATCGGCCAGAATGTCCACAACAGAACACCAGGATGTGTGTCGGACATGGTTGACACCCTTAGGTGGGGCTCCCTGCAGAACCGTAGGTCTTGTCAACTTCTACAAGATCACTCATAGCTATTCCAGCCGACCGGTACCTCACCAAGGGGGAGGGGGGATATGTGCATTCTTCTCTTCATACTCAGCAATTGTATATATGGTTCCAAGCAATACACTTATTTTGGCCCCACCCAAGGGGGTCATCCCCACCATTTGTACATTTTTAAATCGCCACCTCATGAATGCTTCTGACCAAATATGATTGATATCCAGTGCAAAATTCTACAGAAGAAGTCATTATAGCAATATATCCATCTACAAGATCACTCATAGCTATCTCTGATCGGTACCTCACCAAGGCCGACCTCAGGACACGAGGGGGCCACTGTTATCGTCCTATAAGGCTTCCAATGACTTTTTTCAAGTCATCATGCATGCCAAAGACGATAACGTACTGGAACAACCTTCCTTCCTCACTGGCTGAGGTAGACAACCTTGAATGATTCTGTGCTCCTCACATTAACTTCACTACTGCTTCGTCTCTTACTGACAGAAAAAATGTCATCATTTGAACAGTTATATTGTCTGACGCTGTCTTGTTTCATGCAATGTATCTGACTTGATATGTAGAGGAATACTTACTCAACCAATGGAGCTATTAGGTCACTGGCGTCTTGCTAACTCTGGCCCGTACCAACAGACAGACGGAACGGTAGACTGCGAAACCACCCTCATTTCATCACTACCTCCATGATGGCCGTTTGTAAGATTCCTAGCTAAATATAATGATATGACAAGTGTCCTCTGCGGTATATATATATATATATATATTAACTTATTTACTGTGACAAACGTTTATGCTATATAGCATTCAAACATATACAAGAAAGTAGTTTTTAAGGATCTAATGTTTTGCCTTACTAACTTTACGTATGCCGCTTTTCCGGGACTCTTTCCTTGTGATATGTACAATCTTGCATGACCAATTCTAATCAACAGATCTTTAACGATAAATCTCCAGCAGTGAAACTATTAACGGCAATCATAAACGGCGAATCTTCAGCGGCATACCTTTAACGAAAAATGTTTTATAAGCTTCGTGTTAAATGGTAAATCTTGACCGGTACGACACATTTTTATTTTTCACCTGTCATTCTTTCTCTGTAAATATGTACATATATATCTGAATAGGTTTATCTTTTACCAGAAAGTTATATTCTTTTATCTTTTACAGCATTTTTAAATCTGTGCAAGTGTATAGTTTATTCTATGCTAAAATTTTGCATGGAATGAGGGGTCAGCAGAGGCTTTCTATAAATATGATTCTACTTTCAGGTTCAGTTAGAATTTGTTTTATGACATACTAAAGATGGGAAGGAGTCATCCTCGGCGCTTGGTGAAACAGATCGGAATTCAAGTAGAAGTTGCAACAAAAATCAAACATATACTGGACTTCACAGAAGAACCAAAAGATGTTAGCATCGAGGCCGTAGTCAAATCATTTCACAAAATATCAGATGCACAACAGGAAATCAGAGATGCGCTAAAGGAGTTTGATATAGATGTTATAATAATCGATGACGATGCAGTCTACGCGAATTTTACACTGGAATACCTGCAAGACCGACAGAAATTAGACGAGGATACTCTTGCATATGTTCGTCTGTATATAAATGACGAAGAACAGGTAATTAGGTAAAAAAAAAGAAGCTATTTAAAACTACAATGTAAATTTGTCATACATTTTTTGTATAGCAGTTTCATCCTCATCATAGCAGTGCGATACGACACAGAGCTTACACTCCAGGAATTTTATGCAGACATAGTGTTTGCAATGTGACAGAAGTTGTAATACCACAGGGAAAAAACATTTTCCATTTTGTTCTTTAAATATAAGATAGAACTCGCATTTTATAGAAATCAAATAATTACCTAATCACATTCTCTTAAAAATTTCCGATACTCCTCTAATTTTTTCAATTCATACAATTAAGTTGTTAATGCACACACACCATGTTTTGTATATAGATCAATTTTGAATTTTACTTTTTTGGTCTCTAGCATCACCTCTTAGTCATTGAAGGACGAAATTAGTATTTGGTGAAGTGTTATGTTTTTTTCGAGATACTGTATCTATTAACAAAGTTTTTAAATGTTCATCTTCTATACACAATTTATAATGGTACATTTCATGCAAAATTGATATTGTATGATTCTTTTGTAACAAATTACAATTATCTACAGTTTCATTTAAAAATTTCAGAACACATCCTGGCTGAAATGTGACTTTCCGTGCCCTGTTGTCTTTGATTTCTGTAAGACAAAAGCAGAAAACCAAACAACCAATAATAAAGTCATTGCAAAGGCTTGCAACGAAGAATTTGGTTTCCGTGCGGCAATTGTTCAAAAACGGATCGCCAAACTCAATCATTACTTAGAAAGTTATTCATCATATCTCCAGGAACTCATATCCATATGTAGTAATGCTGAACATATAAACAGGTGTGTCGTGGAGTCTTTCGACGACAACGCCACTGAAGATAAATTGTTCAGCTTTGCTCGTTCTGTATGGCTTGATGGTAACCCCAACACCCCTCGCCCGCTAAGCAATGCGTTCACAGTGAATGATCATAAATCAAAACTTGTCCATGAAATCCTAAAAGACCTTTGTGAGAAAATCAGTTGCTCTATACTGACAAAGTTATCGAATTATATTAAGAAGCAGATAAACACGACAGCTTTCGATGCCGTCAGATCCGATGTTGCAAACAACCAAGTGGGTTATATACATAGGAAGAGTATATTCGTATGGATTTATGATTTATTGTTGGCAGAAATTCGTATTGCAATTTCGATTGTTGTTACGTATTTTATCCCCATGGATGTCAACTCAGATAGATGGCGGAAAGGAATTGTAACGATGACTCACAAATCTTTGCTGGTGCACAGAATGGCTATTCTGAATGAACTAAACAAGCAATACCAGAAAATATACCAATGCATCACATATCAGCTGAAACGAGAACTTCAGGAAACATCAAATCACCTTCTACCATACAGCGCGAAAGGATACTCTGGTAAGCGATAACATGAATAGTACAAATGCCATTATAAATACATATATGCCCACCGATTCGTATTACTCAAATTTTGACTTTTAGAGGCAACTAGCACGCAACCCACTAAAGACCAGAATAAAACGTCCATGTCCAATGCTTAGGCGACTTTAAGAAATAAGAAATATTTTTTTCTGCATTTGGTACACTAATTCTGTCATATTCATTATGTCTCTCGTCAGCCATTTAAATATGACCAAGACGTATGCTGGAAATGTTATTGAAAAGACGCAATAGGTGAAAAAAAGGATTCTGTAGACCTACTCATCATATCATAAACTTTGTCCCCTATAACAGCCTGTTTTACAGGTATTGATTCCCATACTGATATTTGGTCGCGTACCTTACTGTAGACAGAGTTACATGTATGACAGTTTATGATGTGTCATATTATGCGGGACATATTTTATATATTTTGTCACCTATACTTGCAAAAGTATCGAAGTACCTCATGGGATGGTAAAGTATACTAAAATCATGCCTTGTACCGTACTATATATAGAGGTATGGTTTTTATTTACCCGTCGCGCATGTCCTGATACAAATCTATGCATACTCCAAAAAAGTATTCAGGTATAGTTTGGTATCTGAAGATAATAGAAGCAGGCATTTGCATAATTGATTTTAAACATTTTAGTTTAATGTATTATGTAGGGTTTTCGCTTCATTTTTTTCCTACCAGATATGATGCAGGAAACGAATACCTTTCCCTAGAACGTAGTTTCGAGTGAACATATCTTATCAAACCCTCTGCTACTCATTTTGTTTGTTTGTGTGATCCCCTAAGGGGGCTGAAACACATTTAAAACTGGTTTGGTTTAGTTTTATTTTGTTTAACGTCCTATTTACACCTAAGGACATTTAAGGGCGTGCTCCATGTGTGTTGCGTGATGGTGTGTATTTGTGCTGAAGGCAGGGTATGTTGGAGTAGTTGCCTCATTGTGATAGCGCGGATCTGATGACGACGTTATAGTGCAATGCCACTGAAATACCATGCACCCAGCACAGCATTCCGCCCGGTCACATTATACTGACAACGGGCGAACCAGTTGTTGCCAATTACCTAAATACTGAGCGTTAAGTAAGGAATAAAATCTACAATTTTTAAGTACTTTCGTATGTCCCGGCCTGGAGACAGAACCCATTGCCTTCCTTACCCGGTCGAACGTTCAACATCAAGGCCAAAAGTGGGTTTTGCCAAGCAAGGCGCTAGGAAATAAAACGTCAGAAATATAAAGATACCAAATACTACCATGGAAGCAGTATATTTATTATAAATAGAGGGCACACAAGCTAATCCCCAATTCTGCAGGGGTTCCCCCCATTAGTCGCCTCTTATGATACATGCAGTGGTTAACAGCAGGTGCGTTCTTTTATCGATCCCCCACCTGCAGGGGTGACATATTTAAGAGTTACATATGTCACTATGTTTACATTACAGAAATATATTTAACGTTTACACATAAACACATAACAGGACCGGTAAAGATAAAACAATTTATATTACAATTACATCCTCAATCACGTTAACTATATATATGCTATTCTAATTGGTAAATATCCTATTGTTAGCTAATGATATGTTTTCGTATCGTAATCACATAGATTTACATGTTTTTTGTATGCTCGTATTCGTAGGTTGCAAACTGACATCTGCCAGCTATGGTACTGATAAATTTGGCAGGAAGGTCATTGGGTTGCGCGCAGAAAACTTTGATCACATTCATCTGACCTATGAAAAAGGCATGGATATCTTCTTCGACCAGAAGACAATCAAAGAGTCTACTTCAGAAATGCAACTAGTAGACGCTTACATGGATTTCCAACTCGTGGAAAACGTTCGGATCAGGTTTGAACTCCGTCGATACCTCAACCAGATCGTCAGAAAGCACACACCGGAACTGATGAAGAAGCATTCAAACCTTATCACGATCAGTACAAGTCCTGTCACGTCTCATCGAGGAGGCATAGAAAAAGCCGCATGCATTGTCCTCTACTGTTCTTGCAAGGGCATCATTCCATTAGGAGAGCCAACGTTCCCACGGGAATTAGACAACATTCCAGTTGATGTCAGGGAAGGTTATATATACTTCGCAACAGCACGAGAATTCCATGATCCTCTCCGTCTAGGATGTAGCATAGGCGTTTCAGGAGAATCTAAAGCGGGCTCTATAGGCGTTTTTGTGAAGGAGGTTGCCACAACAGATCAGTATGGACTACTTACTTGTGGCCATGTCCTACTTCCGGGTCAGGAGCTAACTGACCCTCACATCCGACAAAAAATTCGCGATTCAATCGTTTCCATTGATGTTGTTCAACCTTCGTACATGGATGACCGCAGTAACATAACGTGTGGTAGACTCATTGATGCCAAATTTGGAAATGTTATATACAACGGCAATTTTACAGGCGTCGACTATGCATATGTGAGAATGACATGTCGCATACCTCGGGTATTGAAATTTCCTACTGTCGAATGGGAACATACTGAGGCCTCAATGAAAGATGGTAAGTCCAATTACGCATGCGTATATGTAATTCACTCCAAGTGACGTGCAATATATTTATCATAACCGTTGATCACCATTCAATGTTTGATATTATTACCACTGATTCAATCGTACAGTTGAAACTTCAAAGATGTACTAATTTTCCTATTTTCATAGAATCACCAAATTAGGAATGTTTGTGTCCTGAGATAATTTCATGTTTTCTCTACAAAGGAGTGGTGAACCAGATGTATTTAACCACACATCGAGAGGTATGGTACCAGAGGTATGGTTGTAAACGAGGAGTGGGGAAGAGGGATTGGGCAGGGGTTATATCTCCTTGCGAGAATGTTTAGTGATTAATATTTAAGATTAACTATTTTTACACGTAGTAAATACTTATGATATACTTACAATATTTAAATATATTTGATACAGTTACTGTTATAATTAAACAGGTTACACAGAAGAAACGGAGATGGGTCCCCCGATACTAGACATGGATGTGGACGACACTGAACATAATGTGTATAAATTTGGAAGAACATCAGGGTTTACAAGAGGAGCGTTTAATTTCAGCGGGGCTGTACTTCGAAAAGAACCATTTTCAGCTTCTCTTTGTCCGCAAAAAAATGCGGAATGTTGCCTGTTCAATTTATACAATATTGAAAGTTTGAGAAGGCCCTTTTTTGAACCAGGGGATTCTGGAGCGTCTGTTTTCATACGGAAAGCACATAGGGCTCATGTGGTTGGGTTAGCAGTGGGAGGCTTGGTCAATGGCAGAGAATGCTTCGTAACCCCTATAGGTGCTGTGTTAGACTCCATTGATCCGCGCATTGAAATCCAATGCTTCCCGTATTAGTGTGATGCTAGATATAACTTTTGTGATTATGAATAAATAGAAGAATTGGGCAAAATATCTTGCTTCGCAGGAGGTTGCTTATCTGGTATATCATACTTTCCTTTTTTTCTCACGTGTTTAGATTCAATCATCCTAAATGGCATTGACAAAAATTGAATTGACAACTTGTAAAAATAATTATATTCCTATGATAGATAATTTACTTTACAACTTCCCTTCATAAATATTAGGCTATCAATTGCAAAAACATTTTCGTTGCTCAAAATATTTTCGTCGTTATTGGATCAGCAGGAGAAACCTGAGTCAGTAAACTCATTAAGCTAAATGACGTGTCAATGTTTATTTAACCGATGCTTGGTACTATGTATAGTTTACATGCGTTAATATACTCGTAGCTCGATAACAATGAGTAAAAAGGTAGTTAGTCTTTCCTATTTTTGCTTTGGAACGTTATATTGTTTTTAAAATAACTTTTTATCGTAATTATTTCTATTCCTTTGTTTCAAAATTCTTAAACATCATAATACATATCTCTTCGGGGTTTTACAGTTTTCGAAGTGTTAAAGGGGACAATGTTGTCTTTTGTAAGGAAGCTACTTTATAGCGAAAAGTTTTTGCCATAGTTCAACTTTTGCTTTTGATAACAATCTGTAGATATGGCGAATTCATCAAAACGGCGATTGTTATTACACGACATACAATAATTTTAGAAAAGAACGAGATTACACTGGGTGACTATGGATTTCACTGTTGATGTGCAAATACTTCACTTGGCAAAAGTTTTCCTGTTTATTGTAGTGTAGGTGAAATATTTGTTCCACAACAGACGGATACATATGATATACAACGCATGAACGTGGGTAAAATTATATGCAACCTGGTGATTTAATACGGTTCGACATACAATTATTTGAGTACAGCAATGATTTTGGTATATATATATGTTTTAGAACATTGAGGTTACATTGAAGTTTAGCTTTCGACATAATAAAAATTTAGAAATACTGAATTCATCATAACTTAAGGACACCGTATCATGTTGCATTTAAATTAATTTCTTTCAATAAAGTCAAATTATTCCTATAAAATGATATATTTGTTCCACTCAGGTCTAATTTATCAATAAATCCGTCGACATTATGTTCATGCGAAACATAGTTAGAAAAGAAACAAATCTTGCTCCCATTTCTGTTTGAAAATAAGAGGCCATGATGTTCTGTGTTTAAAATGGTGTAGTTACGTTCCCTTCATTGAGTTGTCGCCCTTGAGATGAAAATGTTTGCTCAGTTACCCAACAGTATCAAACAGGGACATATGCACATTACACAAATACCATCACTTTCCTTTAATAGTTTTCAGATTCGTATGTATTTTTTATTTTGTTAACTATATTTTGACAGCGTTTGTGACAAATAAAAGGGCAAATATGATGCATGTATGTAGGGAAAATGCAAAGTGCATCCTTTCACAAATCACCGAAATCAGACATGGTATAATTCCTTTTGAACGGATCTTCAGTAAAAAGCATGATGTACAAAAGCCATTTTAAAGTCTAAAATTATTCAGAACCAGATGTTAACACTATCTTTATCCCTGAAAATCCATTCCAAATGAAAGAATGGTGCTGACAATGCCATGTCAAATTTGTATATTACACTTGTATTTTATGTATTTATCTTTATTGTGTCTTTTACATTGATGCATTGGTATTTATAATAATGAATTTCAAAAATATTCCAAGTAATATGAACTATGTAATGTGTACATATGTTACCAAAGATTTGTTTTGGTTAGAGCAAATATGATCACAATGATCAGGTCAGCTAGCATTGATTTTGTTATTTTTAAATAGTGGGTTGAGTTTGTTGTTATTCCTGATTAAATTGAAATGAAAAGACACATGTAAATTCACGTCTGATTTACCTAGCTGGTGAATTGTATACAATTGTAGAACTTGCGATATGGTAATGGCCATTCTAGAATGCACTGGTTGCAATATCACACTTGTCTCGGCTTTAGTAGAGTAATATGAAGCAGCAACGTACGTTTCATTGACTCCTAGCAGTCTGAATGGGTAGCAGGATAAAACAGACGATGCAGTTGCTGGAACTTTACAACAATTGTAAACTTATTTTAATCACTTTTGTTGTCCCTAAGGGCAAGTTATGTCATGCCATGGCTTGGTAACCATCTTTTCTCAACTCCTGTTTAAAATATATTATATCATTGTACCAGTTTGGTTTCTTTCAGAACTGTTTTTCGAAGTATTCTCCCCTTATCTATAATATGAAGCAACAAAATGAAGATTTCAGCCGAAGACATATTTCCCATGTCGACTCCTGCAGTTTTAATTTTCAAACGCTCGAATTTCGAAAGCATAAATTGTAATTCTGTATCGCAAGATGTGATTTTTAGGAAGTACTTCTGTAGAAATCATATTTCATAAAGTGCTGAGGATAATCTTATTTTAATTGACGGTTACTTTTGCCTTGCAAGACTCCTTATTAATAATAGGTCAATTCCCATTGGTGTTGGGGGAGGGGGCAAAGAGTGCGAAAAATAAAGGTAAATATTTATAAGCCTCTCCAATCATTAGGGATGAAGATTTTTCAAATAATTGATAACAAAGGATTCCTTGTTGAAAGGGACTTTACCAAGAATAATATGTGTCATGTGGGAATATGGTGAGGGCGGGGGCATTCTCTGTTTTTATTTTTGCATTGCTGAGTCTCCCTCTGTCCAATAATGCTCAGACCAAAGTTAGTAAAATCTCATTCATATGTAGGGAAGGAGAAGAGTTTTATAGATAAACGTATGCATATTTCTTTGTATCGTTTATTGGGTTTCGCCCTCCTGTCCCAAAGGGACAACACCTTCAATTTATAAATCAATGATACCCACTGTCCAGAGGATGCGCTTGATCATATTTGGTTTTAGTCCGTCCTTCCGTACGGGAAGTTTTTAAAAAAAAAGTTTTACCTTTATTTCCCCGATAAGGCACCGCCCCTCTTCTCCCAGGGTGCATAACATCTATTGCTATAACACCGAGTTCCTTAAGCGCAATGATGCTCTTTTCAAAATTTGGTTAAAATCCTTTGATAGCTACGTATACTGAAGGAGTAATATTATCTTTATATTTTCACTTGGACCTTGTTCATCTGCCTCAATGGGTTTATATGCTCATTTATATAACGCTGAGTTCCCTTTTCCCGACAACCATCTTACACAAACTGGCTGAGATACATTGATCCGTTATGGACTGGTATCGTTTGTAAGGAAATGTGTGCTCGTCACATATTTGTACACCCATGAATGTCTAATTGAACGAGTTATTCTTATACTTGTTAACTGTGTTGTTGTGGTGTTTATAAATGCATTTATCCACACACTTTTGTAGATATGAAGAACGATAAAGTTGTTTCTTATAATGTACCTGTTAAACTCAACAGTACAAATACATATTTAAGAATAAACCTGCTATATCCTACCGTCTAGTATTAGGCGACGATTTTGTTCCGTTCTGAGTATTCTGCTTAGGGTAAAATTAATTTCACCCTATGCTGTATATATCTTCGGACCACTATATTTTCGTTCTTATGGTTAAAACTTGAAATTTATTGTTCATTTGTTTAATTGGTGACCTGGTTTATCCAACGTCTACAGTATATATTTGACGGATTTAGTATCACGGAAATATGTTCATGGCAACAGCCATGGTTATATGATGTGAGAACGGGTGTCCAGGTATACACCGCCTGAAATAAATGAAAGTAGATAGAAGACAAGGAAGACGACCCCCCCCCCCCGATTATGCAGGACCACCCATAGTTGTTGATGATGCATTGGGATACAGCAAGCCTATTCTGTTCTGTCCCCGAACCTGTACGCTTTTGAATTTTCCTATACGAGTGAACGTGTTTGAAAAATAAGTAACAATTCTAATACGTGTAATCATTCGTGATAAATACGCTTGAACTGTTATCAATTTCACAAATGCAGGTGGAAATACAATGTACAATATCGGTCTATATTTTGTTGTTGTTATTTTTCATTTTCTCATTCTATAATTACATATAACATACAATGTAACAGTAATTACCATTGTACGGTAAATTCTAAATCGTTAGTACTTTGAATCATGAGAAATGGGAATCAAGAGTCCAAATATTGGTTATTGTATAATGATACAAATGTGTTGTTACGGCGTTACCTATATTTATATGTTGTAATAAACTTCTGTATGTTCACTAATTTCAACTGATTTCAGCGAGAAATGTTCACTTAATGGACAGCTGAAACTTCTATTTTAAATCTGAGAATATTCCAGCGTCTATATTTTATTTCCCATGGGCACCGATGATACTTCTTTTTGTATTATATCCTTTCAAATCCTATTCCTGTCAATTATAACGATCTAAGAATCAAATTTAGTAAGCCCTACTGTCGAATCTTATGTCCTTTAAGGTTATCCAACGAGCATTTTAACTATTGGAATTGGAATTTCAAAAAGTTACTGATGAATTCTGTAGCGAAACGGGATCATGTTGAATTGGATTCACTGTTAAGAATGGGCTGAATCCATAAGGTCTTTCATTCAAAAAATAAATATATAAAAAATAGATATTTAAATAAAATAAAAAAATCATCTTGATGTCAAAAACTAGAAAATTTACCCGAAGTATCTAGATCTATAATCCGATGTCCTAGCCACACTCAACGATCTACAATATAAATATGTAGTTGAACATCAGACAACTTCTAAAACTTGATCTTTTTCTTACACTTCTTACTGGATACCTCAGTGTACAGCATCTAAAATGGTTTTTTTTTAATGAAGGTTAGCTTTTAAAGTACATGTTCTATTTGAAATAAAATAAAAAAAAAATAAAGTTGATTATTCCAATAATAGTAAAATTTAAAGGCACCGGGTCAAATTTATAAAAAATGAAGTTTCATATCTGCAATCAAAAAGAAAGAAAGAACAATTAAGTTGTATCGCAAGACACTGAACAATTAATATTTCAAATGCTGGAAAAATAAACAAAACTGTGATTTCCCCTTGAACAGAAAAGTTTTATTTGTACTAATTATCTAGTCCTGTATTAATTTTATGACAACTGCTGCACGGAACTGAGTAATTCCCGATTTCGTTTAAGATTACCATTGAAGGAAATTACAGTATCAATCTTACACCAACGTTACATGAACGAACTTTTAATGACCAACTTTTATTGTGTTTGAGTTTCGTTATGAATCTACAAATAATAGCTGATGCTATATCCTCCAAATAAAGCAATAACTACAATATATGTTGAAATCATTACTTACTCTGTGTTTCATTCGTAATTCAGTTATGTATTTCCATGCAGAGTGTTTAACCAAGGGCGTCAAAACCTGATAAATCCTCAGTATGATCGGCTAGATTATTATATACGATATCCGTGCTGCAAAACTGGTTTGCTTCTGTTCTGTTTTCCCCTTCAACCAAATGTCCATCGGTAGACTCGAAGTTTATTTTGTGTTAACACGAATTACGTCCCTTTGACTGTTTTGAAATCGCTAGTCCGTGAAGAAAAGTAAACCTAAAAATAGGATCATTTCGTATTTTCACGGAATATGTCCTGCATATATTGCTTTCATGTATCGTGTTGTTAGAGATACTTCATATCGTCAACAATGTCTGGGCGCACGAACATGATGCAACGATTACACTAGGAGTTACATGCTGGTCGGAAGGATTGTTTGTTGTACAGTCAACATAATAATGCCTCATATTCAGCACGGAAGTCAAATGTAATGTTCCCCGACATATTGTGTTATGTCACCATTATAATGAATAAAATACTTAAATTGACGTGTTAAAACTGTCAGCAGGTTTCTTTCTGGGTCACATAGCAGCCGAAAGGCCAAATATCATTGCCTGACACAAAGGTTAACAAATTTGCTCGACGGTTTTTTAACAATACAGATAAACCAAATGACTCAAAACTACTAAAACATGTCTAGTTTGGTGTGCTTAAGCATATAAATATATCCATTCTGTTTCATGTGGGTGCTAATCAGATGTCTATGTCTTATGTGATAGAATACAGTTGTGAGGTTGAAGTAAGGCAGTTGATAGATTTTGACCAATCAGAGCAAGTGTTGTCAAATCCATCAATGAGAATAATGCCACTAGTTCTCACTAGGCGGCGTCGTATTTGTTGGAGCACCGAAAGCAAAGGTGATTGGTTTGATTTGGTTTGGTTTTCTGACAACAGGTGAACCAGTTTTTGCCATTACCCTAAATGCCGCACGTTAAGCAGAGATGACAACTACGATATTTAAGGACTTTGGTATGTCCCAGCCTGGAGACAGAAAACAACTTGTCATTTGAGCATTCGACCAATGCAAGCTTGCTAGTATGTGGGTTTTGTCACTTAAATAAGGAAAAGAAGCCCATAAAAAATTAGAAAGGAGTAGAAAGAAATATAAAGATCCCAAATATTGCAATGGGTGCAGTAGATTTATTTTGGTCAAATCCTCAATTCTGCAGGGGTCTCTGACTTTGGTAAGAGCAGATGTATTCTTTTCTCGATCCTGCAGGGGTAAATAGCATCAGAGTTACTGAACATATCGTTATTGGTATAAACCAACGTGCTAGGTACTATTGCTATACATGAAAGCTCTATTCAGGAAATAGGTAATAAGGAACCGTACATCTTTCAACATGTAGTAAGGAAATCTAGATTCGTTCGTTAAAAAGATTGTTCTATTGGCTTAACATCCAACGACGGGCCATTTATCTGTATTTTATCAGTAATGTACTAGTAAAATACCAATTACGCCTTACTGACATTTGGCGCGAGAGAATTTCCCTAAATAGCTTATCCGGCAGAGCATCAGATTAGAAAACCAGAGGTCCCTGGTTCAATCCTTAGCAAGCTTTCAAGATATATAAACGCAGACAATTTAATATGTGTGTAACAGGAAAATCCTGTTACTTGAAATGACCCATAATCAAAACAACTTGCAAGTAAAAGGGAAGATAACGCAGAAGATGAACATTTTATATAGCTTGAAATAGATGAACAAAATTATGAAAAATACAAAATTCATCGCGAGTTACAGTCGGCTGGATTAGATTTGTTATTAATTGATATTGAAATGTTTCAAATAGGGGAACGAATATTGTATTTCAGACAAAAAGCCTATCAATACTTCGCTGCGTTGCTGTATAAACGAAACATGCCACGTGTACGTAAGCTTCGTAACGTATTTGTGACGACACTTTGAATATCGTCTTATAAGTCTTATTTTGATTTTTTAACAAGAGGCCCAATGGGCCTGCATCGCTCACCTGGTATAAATCTCACACTTGTAACCTTAAAAGTGATCTCAAATAAATCTACAGGCAAAATATAAGTATTTATGATTAAAATTCATTCAAAAGACCCATTTTTTTTAAACATTCCACCTCTGTGATTGAAAGTCGAACAAAGTCATTATGTTGAACAAATTGTATAGCCTTTCATCTCAGGATGCAATTTGCAAAGTATTAATATCCTGGAACCCATGGTTATTCAGAAGAGGTCGTTTAAGATTTTAAACAAATTTGACTCCTGTGACCTTGAATATAAGTCAAAGTCATTCACTTTAACAAACATAGTAGTCCTTGATCCCAGCATGCTACTGACTAAGTATCAACATCCTGAGCCTTTTGGTTATTCAGCACAAGTTGTTTAAATATTTTGAACATATTTGCTCCTTGTGACCTTGAATATGATTCAAGGTCATACATTTAAACAAACTTGGTAGCCCTTGATCTCAGCATGCTACTGGCCTAATATCACCCTGGGCCTTTTGATTATCGAGAAGAAGATGTTTATTTTTTTTTACATATTTGACCCATGTGACCTTGAAAATGGGTGAAGGTCATTCATTTGAACAAACTATGTAGCCCTTTATGTCAGCATGCTACTGGCCAAATATCATCACCCTGGGCATTTTGGTTATTCAGAAGAAGTTGTTGAAAGGTTTTTTAAGACAATTGACCCCTGTGACCTTAAATATTATTAAAGGTCATTCATTTGAACAAACATTGTAGCCCTTCATCTCAGCATGCTACTGGCCAAATAGCATCACCCTGGGCATTTGGGTTATTGGGAAGAAGTTGTTTAAATCTTTTCACATATATGACCCCTGTGACCTTGAATGTGGGTGAAGGTCATTCATTTGAACAAACTTTGTAGCCATTTATCTCAGCATGCTACTGGCCAAATATCATCACCCTGAGCATTTTGGTTATTCAGAAGAAGTTGTTTAAAGGTTTTTTAAGACAATTGACCCCTGTGACCTTGAATATAATTGAAGGTCATTCATTTGAACAAACTTGGTAGCCCTTCACCCAAGCATGCTACTGGCCAAATATCATCTCCCTGGGCATTTTGGTTATTGAGAAGAAGATGTTTAAAGTTTTTGACATATTTGACCCCTGTGACCTTGA